TATATGGTGGTAATTCAAAGGTACTTTAAACTTAGATTACTTAAATTTAACTGATGATGTATTAAGTGTGAACTAGTCACATAAAGTATAGTGACTTGATCATTTGTTTGTGGTGAGCAACATGAATTCATGGTACATCCTGCATTTTTCTTCATGCATTATTTAAACATTAGTTAGGTTTATTATTTATATCGCTATAATTAAGTGTTACCTTTAATTTAGTTTAGTAAATAACAAAACATCCTCTGTTTAGATTGCTGGGATACAATTTATCTGATTAATCTGATGACTGACTTCCTGTAGTGTAAATGTTTGTGAAGACTGTCAGAGTCTCCATCAGGCTCCCCCAGGACCCCAGGCAGTCAGGGGACAAAGAGTCTATAGAGTCAATAATGGATCCCCGGGGACCTCATAGCAGCGTTTTTAATGCGCGTATTGATGGTGTGGTGTGTTTACTGGCTCAGCAGCTTCCGCACACACTGCTGGAGCATAAAGCCAGGTTGACGGACGTTCTCCAGAGGGACTGCACAGTCGGAGCTGGGGAAAGAGGAAGATGTCAGTGGCAGTGAAGAGAGGGATAAGCGCTAAGGGAGAGTCCAGAAAATGCGCCGCGCGTTTCTGGAGGCTCTTTCCTCACCTTTTGCTGTGTCTGTCTCTGGTGGCGTACGCAGCGCTGGGTGCGCTTTTGTTCCAGCACATAGAGGGAGAGAGCGCGTCCACAACCCAGCAGGATTACCGCGAGTTCCTGGGACAGATTGTCCGCAACGTCCAGAACTTAACCGGTTAGTGGTCACATGTATCTGTTGTGGTTCGCTCTGATATCAGCAACCTCAGTTCTATCGACATCTATTATTCTTTCCATTCTAATGCTGGTAAAGGAAACAGGACCCGGACGTGCATATTTCCTTGATACTAACAATATTTAAATATTCATTGCTCCCAGCTCTACACTAAACATGTTCTCCTTATTTTCAGCTAACGCCTCCATCACACATCAGGACATAGTAAATAAAGTGGAGTTTGAGATGCAAAAAGGGTTCAAGTCCATATGGTTCCAGAGACCTGAAAGGTGGACTTTTTTTGGCTCCATGTTCTTCTGCTGCACTGTATTCACAACAGTCGGTAAGACAACACGATTATTATACTAACTGCAAATTGATGTGCATATACACATAAAACTATTATATAAATATAATGTATATATATTTATATACACACACATATTTACCATTAACTAGTTTCCTATTAGCATTCATATTAGCAGCACATTGGCTCTTCAGTATAATTATATATGATTATAAATCACTTATTAATTACGTATTCTGCATGACCATATCTTACAACTATCAGGACATTAACACAGTTTTCCCTCAATAACTAAACTAATTACAGCTTATTGATAGTAAGTAAAGTAAAGGAAGTTGTTTTACATAAATAATAACACTTATTTGGTATGTTCTTATGTAACTTAAGGGTTAAGAGTGTCCAAATAACTCTGAATTAAGTGTTTCTAACTCAGAACTCATGTTTCTTATTTTAAAGCAAGCTCTCACTCATAACTAATTTGCTCAGTATGGATCAAACTTGTTTTTAACTTGACTTAAAATCTGTTACAATTTTTATTTTATCACAGTTTAGGCTTAGTTATCAATAACTTTCCTAATTAGAGCCAACAATACCGAGCTTTGTGTGGCCGTCGGCATGTTGGCAGTCCTGACTCCACCGGCTCTTGACTATTCCAAAAATGGGCAAAGAGGTGGAGCGTGGGTGGAGATGAGGGCTGAATGAAACCTGTCTACTGAAAACAGCCATCTGTGATGGCACCTGCCTTTAAGCTTTAATTTAATTTAAACAGGTAAGATATAGGGTAAGTGAGGTATTATCACACAACTCTCCCCCTCAGCTTTGTGGGGCTTTTCAGTCTCTTTCAGCTAATTGTTTTAATGTTACATCCTGCAACTGTACAGTTTTGGTTCAGGACTCGCATCAACGTTGTGTTCAGCAGCTGAGGCAGCAGGCGGACACGTTTTTAGCTAGCAGGAACACACTATCCACCTGATCTTATGTTTGAACCCTGAGGATGAAGGGGGGAAAACAGCAACAAAGTTGTTTCTGCAAAGAATTTCAACCCAGCTAAACTGTCAAAAGCGCTGTTATGTCTTCGTAAAAAACTGAAACGGACATGGTGACAGATAATGCAGGTGTTCCCAAACTTTTGTATGTCTCCTCAATAGATGCACATTAGACTATGGACCTTCAATTTAAGTGGATTTTGTCTAAAGGAATCCCCTCAACATGGGATCACTATTTACCGATCAACCATAACATTCTGACCACCTAGGCACCCTGGTGATCATAATGTTA